CGCCTATGTAAGATTTGAGGCTTTCACGGCGGTGACTATGAAGAAAGCAGTCTTCTGGGATTTGGCACCGTGTATAAGTGGTGTTAACCGACGTTTCGGAGGAACGTATCGCCTCCATCTGCTTTTACCGTTCTCACGGTCTTGTCGCTTGCAGATTTCTTATACTTTTTCTTCTACCCTGAAGATGGAGGCGATACGTTCCTCCAAAACGTCGGTTAACACCACATATACACGGTGCCAAATCCCAGAAGACTGCTTTCTTTATATTTTGTTATTTCATGAACAGATTAGCAGCGACAGCTGCACAGAACACAGTGATTGGTGATCTACAGATTGCGGTCCTGCCATTTGTCATGCGTGTGGTGTCCAGTGGTAAGATCATGTGATGAATATCTCCATATTCTTATCTCTCTCTCTTTTGGAGGGGGTAGAAGGTGGAGAGCCCATCATATAAAAATTTATTGATACCAAGTCATCTTATTGAAGCTATGTCATTAAGTTCAGACAGGCATTTCCGATTAAGAACTGAACACTTGACTTGGTAGTGTGATCTATAAGAACAATCCAGTGGCTTATTGTAGTCATCATTTGGTGGTTAGATGCATTGCAGCTTGAATAACGCATTTACTCAATTTGTGAAATGCTGTAGCTAAGAGTCTGGAGTGTGTTCATCACAGTAAGCCTTGCTTGTTTCGTCTGATTTAACAGTGATAGCTTTAGATCATTAACTTGAGAGAATATTTTGTGGTCACTCTTGTGCCGTGGTAAATGTAAATGTTCTGTGAATGCATAAACAGATCTCTTAAATCTTGAACTAGTTTGCCACCCTGAAGTTAACAGCCTCAATAACTCAGTCTTGGGTCTTTTTCTTCTTTAATACACCCTGTACCTGGTTTAGCATTTAGATTAGATAGTTGTAAGTGGTATATTTTGAGGACTGTGATACTGCACGTACTGCACTGTGATACTGAAACTGCACATTTAATTTTTTGTCAGAAATCATGTTGAAATCATACAGGTTAAGGGGGATGAGGATGTATTGACATCACATCATAATCCTTTCAGAACTGTGGTAAGCTACATTCTTCGAAGCTCATCTGACCCATCCTAATACAGATGTTGGAAGCTGAATGGTTTCTGCTCTGTGTTATGAAATCCCTGTTTATGTTTGCCCACATTTATAGTTCAATTCTTATGATATTAGGTAGCCCGGTTATTTTTGAATCTCCTCAGCTTAATATTCCAATCTGTTTCACAAGGAAACAGTAAATTGGGATTAGTTTTATAAGTAATACTTAACAATTTTTGTGTAGAATTTAATTAACTGTGATATCAAGGGGTGCATATTATGTTTAATGTAAAAAGAAGACCGTCTAGTAATCAACAATAGCATTGTCATGATTGTGGTAAGACATTTTACATTTCAAAGTAAAATTTGAGCTAGGTCGCACTGCTTGCCGTGAAACACAATGCCCTAAATCGGCTCACAAGTTAATTAGTCCTTTCATTCCAAACGTTGTCAGCCATGAGACATGCTGCTTTATCGGCAAAATTCATATGCTCGTCGCAGCAAGCGGTGCATTGGTCGCTGTGAACCAGAACAAATTTAAAAAACCCTCTGTCCTTCAGACATTGAATCAACACCTACTACTAGTCACAAAGCTACATAAAATGGAAATATACTACCTTTCCAGAATGTCACATAAATACACATATTTAACTTCTGCCTTCTTCTCTACACTGAGTAATTTTATTATTATTCAATGAATGTATGATATCACCTGCTTTCTATGCTCAGTGTGAAAAATTTATTTAAAAAAATAAAGGGTAACTTTTTAGCCTACTATCCTAAAGTAGGCTTACGTGATCTCCATGCTGTCTATGAATCCCTCCCATTAGCTTTTGAATGCCTGAACCAATATTTATGAAACTTGGTATGTATATCATGGGATCTGAGTCCATCTCAATGGTGTACTTCATAAGTCCCTCCCATCAGTCTGTGTGTCTGAAGGTGTATCCTTCCACTTCTTAGGCAAAGGCTTGGTAAACATGTTCTTGTGGGTCTGTCTGTGTATACCCCTATCATTGCTAGGTAGCAACTCGGTAAAAACTTTCCTGCAGCAACGATGAATTGTTGGAGGCATAGTTTTCTATGCAGTTCATGTATCAAAGGAAGTAGGTGATTAGTTCTTCCCAGAACTTCATGTTTTGTTAAATATAATTATGTAGCGGATAGGCTCATCGAATCATGAGGCAGAAGTGCTTCAAGCATCTCTATTCTCTTACTACTTAACAACATAAAACAGAACCTTTATTTGAATGAAAGCTTTACAGAGAAAGAAGAATCATTATGAATGTGAATAATTACAATCTCAAATTTAGGCAAGCACAAGCACTGTGTTACAAAGTTGATCACACCGCATGTAGTCAGAAAATATTTGTTCTTGTTCTTTGTTAAATATACACCACATGGAAAATTATTTTAGACAAAAACTGTAAATCAATCAAATATTTGTATTATGTCACGTGCAAATATATTACACAATGGCCCAATTTTGAGTCAAATTGTTAAAGTTAAGGGGCAAAAAATAAGAAGGCAATATATGTAGCCCATAGCGGATAACTTTCTTTCAACAAAACAAAAAACAAACTCCATGGCCTGTAGTCTGCAAGCGAACTACACTGACCGAGCAATTGCTGCTTGTCAGTGAAGTTAATGCCAACTTTCTTTCAAACATATTTATATCAAACAGTAAACAAAATTTGTATTACTTCTTTGCAACTACAGAAGAACATACATAAGCCATTTTTGAGCTGAAATTTAGTCTACGATGAATTCCCACAACATCAAATCTAAATTGGAAATTTGTATTTCGTAAAGTAATTCCTGAACGTCATCAGGACTAAGACCCCATCCACCCAGCACTGCAATGCTTTTCAGGTTTGGGCATGTGACCATGAGTACTTCGACTGTAACTCTTGAGAGATTCCTAGCACTTCGAAAACATAATTCGCGCAATTGTGGGAGTGATGTCTTTCCGAGAATGTCCGCAAAATCATCGTCAGTCAAGTCAATATCCTCTCCAATACTCAACTCTTGGATCTGTGGTGAACATGACAACAAATATCTAATACATGATGTGGTTATAGTTGAGTGAAGAATTTCAAGTTTTGTTAAACTCAAAAACATCACTTGATCATAATGTGTCAGAAACTCCATTTTGTAACACATGAGTTTTTCAAGCTGAGAGCAGTGGTTAGCTACTGAACTCATGTCCATCACACCTCTCCCCACTACAAGCTCTAACGTATTAAGTGACCCTCCACACTTCGTCAACATGATGTCTAATTCTGCACAGTCAAATCTATTTAGTTTCACTTGTTTCAGATTAGAAATCAAGTGAAGTCTTGTAACAACACCATCTGTTGGTCTATCCAAGTATATAGATTCCAACTTGGGGCACAATTTCACTATAGCATCCAGCGTATCTGCATCCGTTCCAGTATCATGTAGGTACTGTAATTTAGTTTCTTGTGTTATTCTTGCATCTTCAGATATAAAATTTAATAAAGTTTTCCCAACAAATGAATAACCACCTAAAGATTTTAAGTCAGGAAGGTTTTTCAAAAGTATCTCTATGTTTGAGGCAATTACATTTTCCTCTCCTGGGCTTCCTATATTCACTATTTGTAAATGAGAAGGACGGACTGAGGAAGAAGGACCACAGCACAACATTTCAATACCTTCCCGTGAAATGCTGCATGCTCCCGAGATATCTAATACTAAAAGAGAAGCATGATCTTGTCCAAGTGCCGCCAGAACACCATCACTTGCAACATGAGGAATGTACAATTCTTTCAGTTTTGGTAGTTTCTCCAATGTATGCTGTAATTTCTGAGCCTCATCTCCTTTTACCCAAACACCTCTCAAATCCAACATCTGCAGTTCCGCTCCATTATTACCAATTACATCTAATATCATCATGTAGTATTCTTTAGGAAATGCTCCTACGATGAGTGATCTGACACAGTCATGAAACAGAAGTCTGAGGGTACAGAATCTGATTGCAGCATCTAGTTCTTCACTGCTAAGAATGGATTGCATAAGTTCTTGAGATATGCTGTGTGGTAGGGAAGTTAAATAGTTGGCAACTGACTGCAGTTCCTCCTCGTACACATCGTATGTGTCCCATTCATCTAAATTACCTTCAGCGTGAATTAATGAAAATGCAGTGACAACGCTATTGACCATTATGTCAAGGGTTGACAGATACAAAGAGGTCACTGTACGTCTCGGAGACATTTCAGCGTATGGTTTCAAAGCGTTGCAAATTCTGACAATGCAAAATTTCGGTTTAAAACAACACTGCTATCAAATATCTGATATCTGACTAGATTCATATTAAATATATAATTATTCCTGGATCCAAGTTCAGTTGACCATACATCATGACACACATCTGTTCTTTATACAACAGATGTTACGAGTACGTAAGCAGCTTCATTTTTGCTGCATTAGTAAATATTCTGTTAAATTCAAATGGCAATTTGAGGGCTGCTGCCAAATTCTGGAATAGAAAAAAACAATGAGTAAAACTGATGCCTTAATTTTATAGCATTATTATAATATCATATTTAAGCATCCTGTTGAATTTAACTTTCATGCACAAAATATTCAGTCATCGATGCAACTATTTTCACATAGATTCTTAAGGGATCTGACGATGGTGGATAACACATAGAATTACTGCGTTTTTGGACTTTTTCCATTGTACAGAATTCTAGGGAATAGAAAACATGACATTTCAGAAACTGGATCTGTTCTCGTCTTCAGGAGAGGAAGACACCTACTCAGTGGGGCTTGGAGGACTGAATATATTGTGCGTGAAAGTTATATAAATGCAATTCAGCCAGATCAATTCAATCCATATCATTCTATCCTATCTCTCTAAGGTCCATTTTAATGTTGTCCACCCACCTTGGCCTTGGTCTTCCCAGTGGTCTCTTTCTTTCTGTCTTTCCCACCAATATCCTATATGCATCCCTTTTCTCCCCCATTCGTGTTACATGCCCTGCCCACCTCATTCCCCTTGACTTGATCATTCTAATTACACTTGGAGAAGAGTACAGGTTTTGAAGCTCCTCATTATGCAGTTTTCTCCAACCTCCTGTTACTTCATCTGATAGAATTATATGTATGCATATATTGCTTCATATGGCATTGCGCAATAGTTGTGCAGTTTATGCGTGTTTTTACTGTTCTGTTTGCTATAACAATGGCATACTTGTTGATTCTGTAAATTGTGCAAACACATACTTACTCAGTACTCAGTAATGGCCAGGATTTTATCGAATATAGACTTGCTTTATTTCAGAACTCAGTGAAGGACAAAGAGTCTTTTATGCGGACAACAAACACGAACTTGCAGAAATGTGAACAAGTTTACAGTAACATTTTTAGCTTCTAGGCTTCGTGCCAGTTGGGAATAGCTCAAGAGTCATTATTAGCATTTCATTTTCCTACGTCTTAAGTAATTTACGAGTATACATGATAATGCGACAGTATTTACTTTTATGTTACGAAATATCTTTATGTATTCTAACACATAAAAAGCTGAAAGCGAACCAAGGACCAAAATTCCATGATATTGAGGAACCTTACTGTTCATTCGTGTCATACTTATTTACAATGCATATGATACAGTAAAGCGTTAAAGAAGGGAAATTCGAATTTGTGTCAGGAGAAGTTGGTTGACATATGTTGGTCTTTTCGCTCCACGATGTAGTCAGCTGTTTAATGACCGTTCGTGACTTCATGACAGTCAGCTAAATCGGGTAAATAAGTGACTGATGTACGTCTGTGTTGTTGAATTGTTGAAAGACTGGTGTTGGGTCGTAGGTTTGTTTGGGTTTTTGCTGGTAGCGAATAAAGAGACTAAGCAGAAACGTATTGTATATCATGGCCTTTAGTGAAAAGTTGGTGTTTATATGTATATATTTATTGTTAGAAACATATATTGCTGCGTACAGGCCAGTTGTAATTATACACGGAGTATTGTCAGGAAACGTAACAATGATTCCGATGGCAGAACGCATAAAGCAGGTGAGTTCTTCATAATCATCAGCGAAAGAACAGCGTAATTGAAAAAATCAGTTAAAATAATTTAATTTACACTTCTATAAAATTCGTTTTCGTTCAGCATTTTGTGTCCACAGGCCCATCCAGGGACAAAAGTATATGTGACAGATAAATTTGGAGATTGGTCAAGCCTTGCACCAATGTGGCACCAAATTCAAGAAATCGGTGAAGATTTAATGAACATAGCAGCAGCACATCCAGAGGGCATTAATTTGATTGGTATGTAATTTATTTAGTGAATTTGTAATACACATAAATATTCTGTAAAAACATTACCCTTAGAAAGTCAGATGTATCAGTGCTCATATCCTGTATGAGCTAGCAACATTGTTACCTTCATGATCAAAGGAAAACCAGTGCTTGATTTTTGGATGAACAACTTTGTTGTTCAGTGGGCGATCTTGCATGTGAATTCAGGTTTTATTTTTTAATAAAGAGTGTCCTGATTTATATACCTTCAAATTTTCATTGATATCAGCATTTATATATGCCATGATTTAAAAATGTATTTATGAAGCAAGGCTCATTCCTTGTATTTGCAGAATTCCACTAACCAATGCCCCACTCCATTAATGGGCATTAGCCTTTTCATAGGTTGTGGTATTAGCCAGCATGTGGGCTGTTTTTTATAAGACAAGCTACTGTTTTTGCTTCAAAAATGTTTTCATTAAAACCTCTGGTGACCCAAAAACCAAGTGGTCAGATAGATGAAAGCAGCAGTGGTTTATATATACATGAAGCGATACATGAGAAGATACAGTAAGTTAAGGTAAAGCACTATGCCATGAAGGTGTATTTGGGAGTGGATGTATAGATCCCCACATTCCCCTAGTACCCTTTGGATATGAGGCTTAGTGAGCCCCCCAGAACCTTTCTGAATTGTGGTCCCTTCTGTGCTTTTGGTACAGGGCACCCCCCCCAAAAAAATTAATGCAGATGTAATGAAAGTTATTATGATAATAATAGGGACAATAACAACAAAAGTAACAGGGATGGCAGTGACGATGACGACGAGACACTGTACACATTGGAAGCTTTGCAGATACTCTTGTATTCACCCCACTATCTAGGCAGTGTTTTCCTGATTTCAACATTGGATATACCTAGTCATGCACACAGAATGTTGCTAGTAAGCAAATCTGTAAGGCCGCCCCATAGCTCAAGAAGTTAGTTGCTGGCTTCCCGCTGCGGCAGCCCAGGTTCACACCCGGGTCTGGCCAAGTGGGACTTGTGGTGGACAAAGTGGCTCTGGTGTAGGTTTTCTCCAAGTACTTCGGTTTCCCCTGCAAATCTTCATTCCACCAAATTCTCCATCATCATGATCATCCAGGACAGGTACAATAGGCCAATCAGTGGCCACCATGCCGAGTGGACGTGACTGGAGTCCACCCCCCACTAAGCGAATTAAAATTAAGCAGATTTGTAAACTGCTGTTTATATTGATCAGTGTGAGAGTGACAGATCAGTCTTTCGGATTCCCACAGCTGTTTTGATGGTCCATGGATTGCAGAGGCTTGAGAATGATTTTCTTAACTGTTTTCATATCCTCTTGCTTCCAGTTACCCCAGCTTTGTTTTCTGTTCCCACATTAATATTCATTGTCTGCTACTTTCTGCTTCTGCAGTCTAGTGGCCAGAATTCCAGCATACAGATCCTGAGGTCCAGGTTCGATTCCCGGCGCTACCAGATTTTTCTGAGAAATAGTGGGTCTGGAACGGGGTCCACTCAGCCGCGTGAAGATAATTGAGGGGCTATTTCAAAGAAATAGCGGCTCCAGTCTAGAAAACCAAGATTAACGGATGTGGGGATCCATTGCACTGACCACGTGACACCCCCTATCTGCAAAAGTTGGCACTAACTTCGCCAAGAAGCAGCGGTCGCTCAGTAGATATAGTTTGCTTATGAGCTATATGTTACAGAGTTTTTCTTGTCTGCTACTTTCTAGGGGTTTTGTAATTCCTCATGTAGGTCATATAGTGTAAAAATTTAATTCTTTGTATCATCATAAGCAACATTTTTAAGGCCACAAGACAAAACTAATTTTAAATTTATTGAATACATGATCTATATTTTCAGGGTATTCACAGGGAGGTCTTATTGCTCGAGGAATTCTTGAACAGTTTCCTAATCACACTGTGCATACTTTCATATCGCTGAGTTCTCCACAAGCTGGACAATATGGCAGTATGTATAATTCATTAAGCATTATCTGTGAAGGCTCAAAAATACTGCAGGATGTTGCACATAGTGTGAATAACAGTATTATCCTAAATTTTCTTTTTGATCACAGCCAAATTTTTGCACCTGTTTTTCCCTGGCCTGGTCTGTCATACAGCATATGAGTTATTTTATTCTTCTATTGGACAACATATATCTGTTGGCAACTACTGGAATGATCCACATCACCAGAGTCTGTATCGCAGTTATAGCAGATTTCTGCCATATGTTAACAATGAAGTTTTATCATCACAGAGCAACAGTTACAAAGATGGCATAACAAGGTTACGTAAACTCGTTTTGATTGGTGGGCCTGATGATGGTGTGATTACACCTTGGCAGTCAAGGTGAGTATCATCACAACAAAGGTGACTCATATCTTGTATAATTTACTATGTTAGTCAGTCTGATTTTAGAAAAGCAACAAAATGGTGATACAACTGCAACAGAGGCTACAGTCACACTGTTTCTGTTATTTTGAAGTGCTGTAGAAGAATTACTCCTTTGTCAACCTTCAACAGTCACAAAATGAAATATGTAACATTTTTATATTGCACATTCATTAAGTAATATCCAGTTACTGCATCTTAAGGTAATGTCTTGGAATTATTTAATTTCACATTTTATAGACAGGTGTAAGGGCCATGCAATAGCATAGTTGGTTGAGGCAACACAAGCCAGAAGGTTATGGGTTTGAGTCCTGATTGGATTATTTTCAATTGACCTAATTCTTCCAACCACACTATGGCCCTGGTGTTGACTCAGCCTCTAACAAAAATGAGTACGAGGAATATTCCTGGAGTAAAGGGCAGCCAGCGTGTAAGGCTGACAACATCATCATCGTCGTCATCATCTGTGAGCCAACTGTCTAGAGAGAATGTGAGGACCTCAATTTGTCACAACCCTATGGGCCTTCACGGCCTGTTACAGGGATAACGTTACCTTTTTTTAACTATTTGTGGACAGGCTTCAGAAACTCAAACTTAATCTGTTTGCCACTAGCAAAATCCATTGTTTGTTCCATGCAAATGTTTGTGTAAGAAATATTTAAAATCTCGTTGTTAAATAGTAAAATGAAGGAACAAAGGTAAGTTAAGTAAAAAAAAAAGAAAGTAAAGCTATCCCTGTACCAGGCCGTGAAGGCCCATAGGGTTGTGAGACGTTGAGGGTCCCACATTATCTAGACAATCGGCTTAAAGATGGGAAGGTTGTCAGACTTGCGCACCGGCCATGCTTTACTCAGCAGGAAAATTATATAATTAATTCCTGGTACTCATTTGTGTTAGAGGCTGAGTCGACCCCAGGGCCATAGTGCGACCATAAGGATTAGGTCAACTGAAAAAAATCCAGTGACCTGATCAGGACTTGAACCTGCGACCTTCTGGCTTGTAGCATAGTGCCTCAACCAACAACACTGGTAATGTGTGTAATTTTTTTTAAATTTGTGCCTACTTCTAACATGTAATAAGAAATATATAATTTAGATGAAGGCCAGTCTTTTGTATGTTAGCTCACTCATGAACTGTGGTAGTTGCTCAGTTGGACAAGAACTTCTGTTTGTCCTTGTGACTGTTATAAAGATATTTTGCATACAGAAATATGTTCCAAACAAATTTTGCAGATACATGATTATGACAAATTTCATATATCAGGCTGCAATTATTTTCAGTTACTGAAATCATGTATTTATGAGTAGTTGGTGTAGCAGTCTTGTTGCTAGGTTTAATGTGTAAAGTTAACAATTTTAACATAAATAAATTATTCCAGAAAACTCTGTCATCATAAGAAATGTCTAATTCCATGTTCAGCATTGTTAATTATGTTTCCATCTTCAAAGTTTACATAACTTATGCTCCAGATCTCTGGTTCTGAACTGTTTTTGGTAAAACCAGAAATCATCATCCTCAGGATCAATCTTTTAGGCACTTTTCAGGATCAAAATGTAATCTGTTGTTGTCTTATGACCTTGATTAGAACCCCCATTATCCTAATATGTGCTGTAGTCTGATGCTGGGAGGCACTGGTATAAGATCATGTGTAACTAAGTAAGTGCTAAGGGTTTAAGTTGGATTACATTTTAAGGTTTCAATTTACTTTTCACTTTGTATCTTTATAGGTTTGTTGATAAAGTTTCCTTAGAGAGACCATTTCTTCCACACTTGTTACTCATCTTTTGCTTCTTTCCTCTCTGGCTTCTGGACTGTCCACACGTTTCAGAGAAGTTAAGGGTTACATGAAACTTGGGACCAGATGAGAATGAGTACTGTTATCAGTGTTGGTCTGGTTTCTAAAAGTTTTCACTTCTAGATGTGTATTTCTTCTAATTTAAAACTGATCTGTGATTTGAGTAAATGTTTTCAGTTATGACACATAGTAAGATTTGTGCTCTGTTATCACTCAGCAGTCATTCATGAAATAGATATAAATTCCGGTGTTACAGGGCATAGCTGTATTGGGAGACAGCACTGGTGGTTGCAGAAATAACTAGTCAGTCAAGTTCCACTAAGAAACCCTTCTGAAATTTCATCTCTGATAATATATTTTCATTTAAATGGATTTTTTTTAACTTGGTAACAGTAAGGGCTGAAATTTTGAGATTGTATTAGTCATAAAAGTGTTTCTGCCATGTGGTCATTCATGGCTGAGAGTTACCATTGGAGGGCACTAAAATGAAATGTAAAGTTCAGGTTTGTGATCCTACATGCAAGGCACTTGAACTGTCCAAACTCAACTTTCAGTGTTTCTGTGTAAATATTGTAGATATATATGCTTTGAATTCATCACAGTTAGTTGCTGTCAATTTGTTGCCTCATATTGTGTTTCATTTATTTCTAGTCAATTTGGCTACTTTGATGAGAACGAGGAAGTAATGGAGATGAGGGATCGTAAAGTGTATGTGCTAGACAAGTTTGGTTTGAAGACACTGGATAAGAAAAGGAGACTCACATTGATTGAAGTGAATGGAGTTTCGCACTTGGACTGGCACACAAACGAAACTGTCATAGACAAGTATATTATACCATTCCTGAAGTAGAATGCACACTGTGTTGTGAAATTGCATCTGCGCAAGAGGTGCAACATGTTCCATGACCAAGCTAGATACTTCAGCAATGTTAAAAGATCTAGATATCTGATATTTATTTAAAAGAAGAGATTAGTACAGAGAATTATATTTTTATGAACTCTGCTATTGTTTTTAGATCTGTTTCTTCATAGTCACCACCGTAAAAACCTCAAATCTTACGTACTGTTTCTTTATCGTTTCTATGTTGCTGTGAACTTAATGTGTTCAGATGTAGTTGACTTGCCATGTGATACATATAGTGGTGGCAATGGATAGTTCTGAGGAATTATGGTATTGGTAGTGTAAAGTGTCACAGAATGCAGAGCCAGACTGACTGTGTAAAGCTTCAAACTTGATAAACATGAGGCCCCTTAATTTTTTTTAAATATTGTAGAAAGAATTATAAATAAACATCAGCTATTTTTATTTTAATCATATCATATGGAGACTTTCATAACAGAAGATCATTTAACAAAAACTATAAAGAATGTTGATTTATAGAAATATCATAATAATTTGATGAAAAAACTAATTAAATTACCAAGAAATATTCATTAATGTGTATATGGATGACTGGGAATACAGTGTATCAGTACATTCACACAGCAGTGCCCCAAGCAATGCAGTCACCTGCCAGTTCATTTCTGATTATCAGAGATGTTCCTCTACGTGCTATTTCCATCACTGCAGTCTGATGAGGTGTAGTTAGCCATCTGTTGTCTTTTGAGTTTTGTCAGAAAGTGTTGCGTTCATCTTGTGGATGATTGCAAGGCCCTGAGCTGTGACTTATTCATTTGTAGATAAATCAACCACTGACAGAATATGACTAATGTGTTTACTTGTAATGTACTGGAGGTTCTTACCTTTTGTTGACCGGTTCACAGTGACCACAGCACCACCAGCTGAGAGGTGCATATGAATTTTGCCAATGAATCAATATGCCTGTTGGCCAGTAATATTTGGAATGAAGTAGTTACCATTCACAGATGACAGGAGATGTTGCAGTGGTGTCCCTCTACGTATAGACATTCCTTGCACTGGTGGAAGAGGTTTTGATTTATCATTTGAAGCTGTTCTGCAGGAATATTTACAATTTCCCTATGAGAATTTTCTTTAATTCTTTGTTCAGGAGTTACTGCTGTAAACTTTGTCTGTCAAACAGCCCTAGAAGAAAAAAATCACAAGGAGTAAGATCAGGTGAATGAGCTGGCCAGCAGATACCACCACTGATAATTCTGTCCCCGAAGACATCGGACAAAGACTGCATAGACATACGTGCATTGTGGGCAGTACCTGAGTCTTGCTCAGACCAACCATAGAGTCTTTCCTCTTCTGTTAAATCTGGAGAGAATTGCCCGAGAATGACCTCTACATATCTTGCTCGATTAATTGTTTCATTAATGAACACAGGTCCAATAATCATTCTTGCACTTACAGCACACCAACACCAACTCTCACTGGAAGGAGCATGACTTAATAGTTTAAATGTTGGAGTCTGTGAGCTCCAGTAGAGATTATTTTGTTTATTTATGTATCCCTGCAAGTGAAACCATGCTTCATCAGGGAAGAATATCAGTTGCAGATCGATCTCACCTTTAATGATAGCCCGTAGAAACCAACTGCAAAAACGAACCCTGCTAGATGAATCAGGCGGCTGCAAGGCGTGTATGGATTAATGTTGTTTTATAGAGTCTAAGCTTCAGCAACTGTGTTGCCCTTCTTGCACTAGACCTTAACACTCTAGTCTCTTGAACTGGACATTTCAGTGATTTTCTAGGTATATGTTCAGGCCTGCTTTCTATGTGATCTATGTTTATTCACCAAATTGTCAATTGTTTGTCTGCTGGGAACTCTTTCATCATAAAATTTTTGCCAACACTTTCTAACACATCTGTCTTTCATGTAATACAGAAATACATGCCGCTCTAAAGTCTGCTTACTAATTGTAACTGAGAACAAATGGCTGATGGAGCAGATAAGTGCCACCCACTGCTGAAAAGTCATAAACAGATTCGCATGCATGAACTGCACTACTCACTGTGAAACATAATGTCTTCCAGCAGTCCACAAAGTTAATAACTTCCCTTAATTCAAAACATTATCAGGCATACCGATTCATCGACAAAATTCGTATGTGCCTCACAGCCAGCGTTGCACCAGTCACCATGAAGTGCAGGACCATGAAGCAGTCAACAAAGGTAAAAACCCCCCTCTATGTTTTGTGTATATTATTCTCATTCAGAATATTTATGCCTAGTGTTGGACCAACACACTTGCCCAGTGAAATATGCTGAAAATAAATGTGATCAAGATTTTGTGTATAAGTATTATTTAATTTTAATATAAATGTATTTTTAAATAAGTATTGTATTTTTAAGTTCAAGAATATTGGTTCCAATGGAGGTAACTAAAAGTTTTGGTCATTGCTGGTCATCTCTGTTGGCATAGCCAACATTTCATGATTTATTTTAACCGTCTTACAGTGCATACATTTATTCACCTTACTCTTCTCTCTTGCACTACATGTTTCAGCACAAAAGTGCCATCTTCAGGTGCTTTTCGTTGTACGTCAAACTACTTCATTGCATGCCCTATTGTCTTTATACTAAAATATATACTCGTCATATATATTGGTAAATTTTAAATATTAAAAATATTGAAACTGTTCAGGATTTGTCATCCTTATGTCATATCTCAATACGCGAGTCACACCTATCTTCCTCTATCGGAGCATCTATCCTGCTTCCGTGTGTGTATTGTGCTTTGTGTTGTGTCTTGCTCCTGTGACTGCGTGTGTTATACTCGCGTATTGAGATACGACATAAGGATGACAAATCCTGAACAGTTTCAATATTTTTAATATTTAAAATTTATCAATATATATGACGANAGCCAACATTGTAAAGAACTGCTTTACATAAAGTGTTGTTTGTACATATGCTGTTACTATATTTTGCTGTAATAGGTCTAACAGTACCTAGAATTTGTGGTTGTGACGAGTTCTGTATTCTGGAGTACTGCATTGTTTAGTCCATTGGAAGTCAACATTTTGGAGGGACATGTATCACCTCCATTATCAGGGTCGAAGAATAAGCCAAACAAGAGACCAGCATGAAGGAAGTAGGAAGCAAAGGGCTCAGGGATGTGATGGGATGAACCTTCATCAGGTTTGAAGGATAGGGACAGATATCAGTTAGAAATCCCTCCATGGATCACTGCCGACTTCACTGTGAGACAGATGTGAGCTCAGGATTATCAGTCACTATATTATTTACTGTGTAGTACATACACAAACAAATTCACACAAATAATATTTGATGTAATGCCAATCGTAACTCCTTTTATATATATTTCTGGAATGATTCGCTAACTGAATGCTAGCCTTGCTGTTAAATGCTTGCCTCCTTTCTTCCATTAATAGCCTGCTCTCTGATCAAATGAATAAGTGATTCCCAGTTCTGACAGATTAATTTCTCCCTAAGTCTACTGAACCAAATGTTAATCATCATTTGATCAACTGCTTGAACTTACAGTTGACTTGTGAGTATCCACCTTCTCAATCAGTCAGTGACTGGTGGTCACTGAATGCATTTCTCTTCTGTGCCAGTAAGGTATTAAAACCTCTGAGGTTTACACCCTTGTACCACAAAGATGTAACATGTCCATGTCCAGTGGGTTGGTTATGGAGGCTCTACACTAGGTGCAGAACTTCATATATATAAGAATTAGGTTAACCGTCAACACAACAAATATACTCGCTTTTAAAGTTTTACAATTCGACTTTTTATTCCTGCTACATGTTTCAGTCTTACAAGACCATCATCAGGTAGTCATATATAGGAATACGTACAGTTACTGAACTACCGATATGGATCCATACCAGTGCAACATGTCACAATGTAAACTAACAGATAAAATTTGCCTCAAGTTTTTGTTACAATTAAAATAGAAGATACTGAATAAGATAAAATATATACCATATATCAAGATTTATAAAGTGTTGAATATATTAGGGACATATTAAAAATATTTAAACATTTTTGAGAAAATATATTTAAACTATTTAGTATGGGAGGTTAAGAAATATGTATGCCAACTTAAATACTAAGGTTCCAATGCTACAGTGTAGAATTGGGCATGTTATGTCATTTGTAGGTCTTTGTTGTAGAAGCTTTCCATGTAGTAAGCCCGGTCATAGACAAATTTCTATCTGCAAGAACGAGTATGATGTATGTGTAGTTGATGTGTGGTATAATAGGTGTGCATACTTCACAATATGTATTGTTCATTCATTCATTCATCTGTAATCTGTCAAGACGACAGGACCACAGTCTCTTCCAAAACAGTTCTTCCACTTGATATATGATCATAAAATATGACATATGCATTTCGTCTGGGTATATATATGTTCGGTGTGTTCTACACTGCATTCAGTTGGCATTAGGAGTTATAGGTGGTTTACCACAATGTCTGTGAGATATGACAACTTTTGTCAAAGTTAATAATGCTGATGGATTGATTATATGTGGGGGAGTCAGTAAGTAGGTCACAAATTGATATAAAACGTAAAACGTGATATGCGAACATGGACAAAACATTTATTTCTCGACATATTCTCCACCAACATTGATACGCATGTCCCATCACTTTACCAGTGTGTTGAAACCAGCATAGAAGTCTTTTGACTGTTGTGTCATCCACTTCCGCATGTGGTCAGGCATCATCTGCAATTTTCGAACATCCTTGAGAGAATTCCTCGACTGAGTTGTGAACCACTTTATGTGAGAAACACTTCCCACCATAATCAGGAAATTCTTTATGAATGTCCTTTACATTAAGTCCTTTTGCCCACAAAAAAATGCACAACAGAACGCCCCTCTTCGGTAGAACACTCCTCAAGCACGGTCACAATTTTTACTACTGAAACCAGTCTTTGAACATGCACATGCACATCTCCTACCTACACTGCCATGAATCTGAATTGTGCTGCTACCTAGTGTTACAAACAAAAAACTTTTACTACCATTTGTGACCTATTTACCTACTCTCCCTTATGTGAAAATTTCTTTTTGTCTTATTTTCATAAATCGTAAATAATGTACCCTATGGGGAGCAATTGCTTAATAAATATTTTTCACAGTATTTGTATTTATTGTAAGTTCAAGAGATTCGAAGATGGATATAGAACATGTCATAAAATAACATAGAGCACAGAATACATACATAAAAACTACACAACTAGACAGTACAATGAATACAACAATGATAAAAATTATGTATTTAGATATTCACCCACAGTATAAAACACATGAGTATTCAAGAAATGCCTTAATACAACCTTTGTAACCGTCCAAACCTTTCAATACTCTTTAATGGACGCATGTTCCTTTTCAGCCATTTCAATAGAGTGACTGATTTATTAGGGAGACCCATCCATTAAGAAGTTGACATGATTTTCGCATTTAGACAGGAACAACTTATTCTGTTACCTGGACCTTGGGTGACCGTTAGAGGGTCGAGGCAATTATGAAAAGGATATGTTTGTTGTCCGCCCTAAACTAAGACATAAGTGCTTTCACATGTAGGGTCCCGGGTTCAAAATCTCTGGATCTCTTCATTCTCAAAGTTAGTAATGTGATTGTCTTGTACTGATGGTATCATGAATTGGCAGTTAAAATCAGCCATTAGAGAGAATTCTTGTCTGGGAGAAAGGCCATCGGTTCAAATCCTATACGGTAAGAAGTGACGCTCCCGGAGATAGAGTGTGTAACCGTACTTCCCTCGTCAAAATTATATAATTAAGAGTAAGAACTATGTATGCATTGTTTAATACCGTGAGAGACGCTCCATCGGCGAGGTACCATCCCCGGACCTTCTAAGTGTAATTCCGCTATTGTCCTCCTCAGGCTAAGGGTGCCGCTATTGTCCCTAACGCCACCTGTTTACGCCCAGTATCTCATAAACCCATGACCTGACCGTGCGAGACCAGCCGGGAGGGGTATTGGATTACTTGAANCCTTGAACTTTTTAAAATTATTGGATGTGTTCTTGATCTCTACGGGCAATTTATTGAATATTTTTATACCCGCACAATAAACTCCTTTTTGATGAATAGTTAAATTAGCTTGAGGTAGATACAAATCTTGTCTTTGTCTACTATCAATAGTATGAGAATAGTGTTTGATGGAAAAAGAACTTATTTTGCAACACAAATACTAACAACGAAAATAATTGTGATGCAAATGATAAAATATTTAGCTCTTTAAATATGTTTCTACACGAAACTCTATTGCCATATTTCAACATCGCTCTGATAGCCTTTTTTGGAGAAGAAAAATAGCAGAACTATGAGATGAGTTTCCCCAAAAGATGATACCATAGCTCATTAAGGAGTGAAGAACAATACAATAGATTACCCTTAGAGCTGAAGTAGACATATAATATTTCATATTTCTAATTATGTAGCAAGCCTTATTTATTTTTTTACAAGTAAATCAATATGATTCTTTCATATTAAGGCACCATTAACTATAACTCCAAAGAATTTAGTACTGAGGGTATTGTTGATAAACTTATTATTATGGTTTATTGTAAAAGTATCTGATATTATTGTCTTAGTTTTAAATTGAATAGAATGTGTCTTATTAAAATTTAAAGATAATTTATTAGCTCTTAACCATCCATTTAAGATTTCAATTGTTATAAGAATATTCCTGCTAAGATCATTTATATCATTTATTCATACTCAATTCTAATACAATTACACTTCATATGTGAGGAGATTGTGTGATTAGTAGCGACCGAGTCTGGATCGTGAAGTCCAGCAGCTACGAGTTGAGTGGCATCGAGTGAATTGAAAGGACTACATCAGAAGTCGCAATTGTGATACTGCGGATGACAGTAATGTTATAACTGTGAATTGTATAAGTGTATGAGCGAATGTGCAATAAATTTGCTATATTCACTATGGCGTGAAGTTACTTGTCACGTGACAGTATAAATGTCTGTGAATTGGGCAAGATTAAAATGTGTATGTGTCCACATGCAGCTTTAAGTTTACTTTGTAATATATACCATTGTTAGATAAGTTTCAGAAAGTACTGTAATGTGTGTGGTATCTAGGTTATATTACTGTGTTTTACTATGTGATGAATGTTTACCCTAATCTTATAATATGAATGACAAGATTCTTGCCACACTTTGCATGCCATTGAAGTTATTGTTGAAAGAATTAGAGAACAGTATTAAGTTTCAGGATAATTATATTTTATGTAATATGTATTGATCTGTTCCAGACTGGATGGACTAAACAAACATAAAATACAGAGTACTGTATATCCTGTACTTTACTCACCCTTAGCCACCATCCCAAAGATACCAGCCTCCGGGCTACGCGCAGCTGCCAGTAGCGTTGATAATGTATTTGCCATAACTATTCATAGATATGAGATCCTTTACTCAGGGATACAGGTGCTCTGGTGACCCGGATGGGAACGCACTTCAGGAGTTATGAATCACAGGTTCACC